TCTTAATCCCAGCACTCTCTGTCTGCAAGTCCTGCCTAATCTCTTCCTGCCTAGCTCTTGGCCATATAGCTCTTTATTAAACCAGTGAGAGCAACACATCTTTACAGTGTACAAAATGATGATACCACAACAATAGAGTTTTTCTATATTTTTAAAGAACTCTTTCATAAATGAGCTGCTTTAAGTGAGAATGGAATATATAGCTCCACAACTTTGCAAAGAATTTAACACTCCCTCCTTCTCTGATCAACTGCAGTGTTGACCCAGGAGGATTGCTCAGTGAGAAGAAACGAAAAATTGGTGAACAGTATTCCCTTGCTTCCTTTGTTTCTCAGAGTTTAACTCTCTGCTGGACCTCTGTTCAAGAATGCCAGTGAGCCAGGAGTATTCCTGGGGTCTTAGTCTTGTCAGTTAATTGTGGGACTTTCCTAATAAATGCCACATTGAAAGGCAGTGGACAGTAGTTCAACAAGGAATCACAACTATCCACTAATATATATGCGGTTAATATATTGTTTTAGGGTTTCTGTTGCTATGAAGAGACACCATGACCCCGGAAACTGTTATAAAGGAAAACCATTGAATTGGAGCTGGCTTACATTTTCAGAGGTTTAGTCCATTCTCATCATGGTGCGACATGGAGGCATGCAGGCAGACATGGTACTAGAGAAGTAGCCAAGAGTCCTATATCTTGACTTGCAGGCAACAAGAAGTGGTCTGTCTCTCTGGGCGTAGCTTGAGCATAGGAGACCTCAAAGCCCACCCCACAGTGACACACTTCCTCCAAAAGGCCACACCTACTCCAACAAGGCCACACCTCCTATTAATGCCACTCCCTTTGGGAGCCATTTTTTTTCAAACCACCATAATAATGAACAGCTAAATCTGCTTCTGAAGATGTCAGCAAGTAAAACTCAATTTAGATATAAAAGTAATTTTCCAGGAAGACTGAGAGTGACTGACACATATATAAGAACTTTTAAGTTGTGTGCATGTGTATGTGTACACAAGGACAACAGGTCCCCTGGAGTTGGAATCACCAGCAGTTGTGAGCTACCTAACTTGAGTATTGAGAACCAAATTTCAGTCTTCTGAAAGAGCAGAAATGGTTCAGCAAGAACAGACACTTGCCTCCAAGCCTGCTGACCTGAATTCAGTCCCCAGAACCCACATGGTGGGAGGAGAGAACTAACCCCCTCAAGTTGTTCTCCAGCCTGTACATACTCACCATGACACAAGCACACAAATAAATAAATGCAATTTTAAAAGTCATCTTCCAAACAATAGAATTTTAGTTCCCCGAGGGTAAATAATTTAGGTTCTAATAATATTCAGCACCTTTCCATCTGACCTTTTTGATGACATGGATAACTTCTCAGAGGGTTGTAACCAGGCAGGTCTAACCCTGACTTAGGACAGCGTGGAGTCTGGTTTAGTGGAGCTGACCTGGAATCCCAGCATTCAGGAAGCTGAAGCAGGAGGATCACAAGTTCAGCATCAAGGATCATAATGTACTGAAGTTGTATGTGGACAAATGGCATATTTGGATCCCTCACGGCATCTTTTTTCAACTTGCTTCTAGAGGGAGTCCCTGTCTCCAGACAAAATAAGTCAAACAAATAACCCCAGGAGTAGAGCTAAAAAGAAAAAACCAGGCCCTCTTAATTGGCTGGGTTCAGTAGAGTGGGGAATGTTTTTGTTTTTTCTGTCCTGGTATTGAAATGTCAAATGATCTGTGTGTTTAGATCTCATAGGTAATGAACCATACACATGGAATATTATAGAATCTTCCTTTATTCTGAAGAATACAAACATAATTTCTCAGTCTTTCAAAAGCCCACTAGTTATCTTAGCTAAGTGAAAATAAAGTTTAACCAAATGCCTTCAAGCCATTGTTCACCTCTCCTAGTGCAGTCAGAAGCTGGCCCCTGAAACCAATTAGTTAGAGAATCTATTCCAACAAATGCTCTTACTAAGAAATAGCTCTCAACTAGTACAAAAAACCTCTCTCATTATTTATTTTCCTTAACATGTACAACTATAGAACTGGGTCTGGTTATGTTGACATTATCACAGCTACCCCTGAGGCTGAGGCAGGAGGATCACAAGTTCAAGGCCAACTTGGATAATGTAGCAAGACTCTTTCTCAAAATTTATATTAAAAATAAAGTAAGGGCATAGTTCAATGATAGGGCACTTGCCTAATATGTATGACTCCCTGGGTTCAATTACCAGCACCACACATAGACACCCTCTATAAAATCTGATTAGCATAGAATGGTGAAAACATTCATATTTGGATCTTACCTTTTAGTCGTAACAAATATATCTTGAGTTCGTTTTTAACTTTTTCCCAATTTAAAATATATAGATGCATACAGATATGCATATATGTGTGTGTATATATACATACACTCACACACATATTGCATGTTTTTCCTTGGACATGAACTCGAGAGGTGTGGAAAGTGGAGAAGATGTGAAAGTAGAAGGAAGACCATCAGAAAGAGGGGAAGGTTAGGAAAATCAGTATTATCAATGTCTATTACAGCAATGTATGAAAATATCACAGGCCTGATAGGAGGCTGAGACAGGAGGATCATTGCAAGTACATAGCCAGCCTCAGACAACCTAATGAGACATTGTCTCAAAGCAGTAAAGCAAGAGCTGAGGACATAGCTCAGTGGCACTTGGCTAATGTGTGCAGGGCCCTACGTTTGATTCTCAGTACTGTGGTAGGAAGGTGAGGAACGATCACAAAGAAACCTCATTATTTAGTGTAACTAATTTTCTACCTGTGATAGGAACTGGATAGAAAAATATTCATTTGAGACAGGGTCACACTGTTGCAAACTCATTGCTGCAACAAAACACCATGACCAAAAGCAAGTTGGGGAGGAAAAAGTATTGGCTTACACTTCCACATCACTATCCATCATTGGAGGAATCCAGGACAGGAACTCAGAAGGATCAGGATCCTGAAGGCAGGAGCTGATGCAGAAGCCATGGAGGAGTGCTGCTTACTGGCTTGCTTCCCCTGGCTTTATCAGCCTGCTTTCTTATAGAACCCAGGACCACCAGCCCAGGAATGGAACCACCCCAATGGGCTGGGCCCCTCCCGTCAATCACTAATTAAGAAAATGCCCTACAGCCTTATTTTACAGAGTTGTTTTCTCAATTTAAGTTTCCTCCCTTCAGAAAGCTCTAGCTCGTGTCAAGTTGACATAAGAGTAGCCAACACACTCATGATCTTCCTCCCTCAGACTCCTGAGTGCTGGCATTAACAGGCATGTACCACCAGGTCCAGCCTTTCTCAATCTCTACTCTTTCCACAGTGAGTATGCATTAGGGGTCAGAAATAAAACACAGTTCTTTTTGAGGAATTGATGTAGTTTGTGGAAAACTATCCGAATCCTTCATTTTCTAAACCTCTGCTTTAGTTGGGACACCTTCTTCCTTCTCTAACTGAGTATGTTGGTCTGCCTGTTGTAGATAGGAAATGCTGGTGCAGAACTGTCACCAGGTGCCTGTGAGCCCTTCACAACAGCACGTTAGTGTTCGCTGTTACCTTTAAATAAGGGCTGTGTGTGTGTGTGTGTGTGTGTGTGTGTGTGTGTGTGTATGTGTGTGTGTAGATTAGAGTAATGCCAAACTGATTGACTTTCCTGTCATTTGTCTAGCCAGACCCACTATGCATTTTATATTATCCTAAGCTTGAGGTAAAGATTGTTTTCTGTGGGATTCATGGAGAAGTTGGTATCACCGTTTAAATGAATACTTTTTATTTGAAGATAGATGATCTAGTCCCTTATTTATGAGATGGGGTAGAGGTGTCTTATTAATAGAAAAATGCCAGGCTATTGGCATGCAGCAGGTACACATTTCTGGGTGTAAGCCCTGGAACCGCCTGGGCTCAGCAGCTCTCGTGGCTGACGTTAGTCTTGCACTGCTGCTCCAGCTGCCTACTGGAATGCAAGACCTGGACTGGATCTTTCCCATCACCTTGGATTGTGACCCCACTGCCAATACCTGGCCAGAGTTTTGTCCCCAGAACATAGAACAGAGTCCATCCTTCAGTGTACTCCCAAAGAGAATCCAAGGAATAGTTACTCTCTGGGACAAAGGGAACCAGATAGGAAAGAAATTTACAGCAGGTCTCTTCAGAAAAATGCAGAGCCAGTGTTAGAAGTGAGGATTTCAGGCCTTGGCCGTAAGTCAGGTACTTGGTGTTACGTAAAGATCTCCTAGTCGATGTTTGCAGAGAAGGACTATCAGATAGCCTCTGAGAGATGAATGAAGGGAACTCGGCCAGAATGAGACAGACTTAGTAATGAGTTATCTCATCATAAGTCTCAGCCAAGAACAACACGCACCTTTTCCAGAGACTGAATTTTTCTTCCATTCTGGGAGGTAGAGGACCACGTGAAGTATGTTGTCCAGGCTTTCAGAAGAGCAGTTTTCACTAGCAGTGAGATCTTTGGAAATCTGCTCATAACAAAGTACACAGCGCGCTTGTGGGGTCACTGGAGGCTTTAGGCAGCAGGAACAGCATCTGTGTAAAAACTAGCTAGTCTGGACTGGCAAAATGACTGGACAGTAAAGAGACCTCCGAGCCTGAAGACCTAAGTTCAATCCCAGGACCTACATAGTGAGAGGAAATGATCGACTCCCACAGACTGCCCTTTGCCATCCACACATGCCATGACAATCTCATCCATATACAAAATAAATAAGTAAAATATAATCTAAAACACACACACACACATATCCTGTGTCAGTCTCCTGCCGCGGTGCAGAGTTCTCCGTCTGGTACCAATATACTCAGCCATAGTCCCTTCTCGCTTCCCAGTAAAAAGTGCTGTGAAATTGTTTCTCTTTATAATTATGAAGATTGCAGTTGTGTTGAGAAGAGTTTTTTTCTTGGTTTGGGAGGCATAAAGAATATTTGAACTTCTCATTTCAGATTAACCTTGACTTTCCTACTTTTTTGTTTACCTCAGATCATCCAGCCCCTCTTAGAACTTGACCAAAATAGAAGCAAGTTAAAGTTGTATATTGGACACCTGACAGCCCTCTGCCATGACCGAGACCCCTTAATCCTTCGTGGACTCACTCCACCAGCTTCTTATAATACAGATGATGACCAGGCAGCTTGGGAGAATGAGCTGCAGAAGATGACCCAGGAGCAGGTAGGTCTTGCTTAAGCTTTGGCCCAAGCACACGTCCCATCTGGATGGGTAGTGGTTAGTGGTCAGGACATGGTTCTAGGTTCTGTGTGTGTGTGTGTGTGTGTGTGTGTGTGTGTGTGTGTGTGTGTATACACGTGTGTATACACATATGGAGGCCAGAGGGGTGTGTGTGTGTGTGTCTGTGTGTGTCTGTGTGTGTGTGTCTGTGTGAAGATGTGTGTATAGCAGGCATGGGTATATGTGCATATACACATATGGAGGCCAGAGGTGTGTGTCTGTGTGTGTGTGTGTGTGTCAGTGTGAAGATGTGTGTATAGCAGGCATGGGTATATGAGCATGTACACATATGGAGGCCAGAGGGGTGTGTGTGTGTGTGTGTGTGAGTGTGTGAGTGTGTGTGTGTGTCAGTGTGTGTGTGTGTGTGTGTGTGTGTGTGTGTGTGTCAGTGTGAAGATGTGTGTATAGCAGGCATGGGTATATGTCCATATGCACATATGGAGGCCAGAGGTCACCTTCTCACGTCGTTTCTCAAAGAGCCATCAGCCTCTTTCTCTTTTAGTCGGTGTCTGTCGCTGGCCCGCTGGCTGGCAGCTCACTACTTCAGCTGGTCTGGCTCACCTGAGAGCTCCAGGGCCCTTCTGGTCTCCTTTCCCAGAGGTGGGATTACAGGCGCACACACCACACCCAGCTTTCTCCTGGGGCTGGGGGCCAGATCCTCAGACTTGTGTGTACAGCAGCACTTTGCCAACTGAGCCACCTCTTTAGGTCCCCAACATCATTTTTAATTGATTTATAGTTTTTTGTGTATTTTCAAATCAACAGAAAGCACACATAACATTATTTTTGAAATACATGCTGAGTTTTATTTTATTTATTTATTTATTTATTTGTTTATTTATTTATTTATGAAGGTTGATTTCACCAAAGTTAGAATTTCAGGTTAATGTAGTACCCAGGAATGTCATCTTCCTCCTGCTTCTGTTCTGCATACTCATCAGTGTGGCTACCAGACGGGTGGTCTTCACTGTAAATACATCCTGATAGCAGCAGCTGGGATGTGTGACCAAGGGGTACCAACCTGTAGTCTGACTCTTCTGGGTGTCTCTTGAGAGAGTTGGGGTCTGGTTAGCACAACCTTCTACCCCAGGGTCTGTGACGCACTCCAACCTGCTAGCCCTGTCAGAGCAGCAGCTTGAAGGTAGCACTGGAGGGGTGGGCACTACAAGGGGAGGCTGGGGGTCTTTGGACCCCAGGACAGCAACAGCAGGCGAGCAGTAGATGTGTGGTAGTCTAAGTCTTCAAAACGGGCACCTCAGGGCTCATAGAACTGGGTGGGGAGGAGGAATCGTCCTCAGATTGGTCTTCTTTGGTCCCTTTCTCCAAAGTAAACCAAATGTTAAATTATTCCAGGAAATGGATACCTTGTAGCATGCATTCTGAGGCAGTATTCTCCCCTCTTCAGCCAAAGCCTTGGTGACCCAGGGCTGGAGGAGGTGGGCTGGAGAGAAATAGCACACCTACCTTAGAGAGGGAAGAGTCCCGCAGACAATAAAGGCCCTGGGGGTTGGCTGACCGAGAAATCCATGGGAGTCTGCTTAAGGAGTATGAGGGGATTTATTAGGATAGAAATTGAGGAAATATACTCACGAATACAGAACTGAGCTGAAGTCGTCCTCTGTTCTCACCGGGAGCGAATCCACCTGGCAGTTTGACCACACCAGGAAACTGGAACCAGGGAGAAGGGACCTCTTGACTCCTCTCCCTTTCCTTTTAAGAGGGCACCGCCTCCTTTCCCCCATCTAGCCCAGGGTCGTGGGTGGAGCAAATACCACTACAGCTGGCTTCAGCCAGGTTGGTCCCCACCCTCCTGTACCCCTCCAGTGAGCACCCTGTGGTTTTGTGGAGGAAGATGGGGGAGACATAAAATACCCTCTCCTGGCCGTATTTTATTGTTATTGACAGTAATCAACATTGTTATATTACTGGAATTGTTAGGGTCAAAGCTGTGGTGGTATTGTGTTCCCCAAAATATTGTGCACGCTAATAAACTTATCTGGGGTCAGAGAACAGAACAGCCACAATATTAAACATAGAGGTTAGGCAGTGGTAGCACACGCCTTTAATCCTAGCATTCCAGAGGCAGAGATCTCTGTGAGTTCAAGGCCACACTGGAAACAGCCAAGCATGGTGACTCACGCCTTTAACCCCAGGAAGTAATGTCAGGAGGCAGAAAGGTATTTAAGGCGTGAGGATGAGGAACTATAGCCTGGTTAAGCTTTCAGGCTTTCGAGAAGCAGTTCAGCTGAGATCCATTTGGATAAGGACTTCCAATCTGAGGAAACAGGATCAGCTGAGGAACTGGTGAGGCGAGGAAGTGCTTCCTCTGTTTCTCTGATCATTCAGCGTTCACCCCAATAGCTGGCTCAGGTTTGTTTTTATTAACAAGACCTTCTAACAACTCATGCAACACAAAGCCTCAATCCTGGAAGCTTTAATGTGCCAGTCTTGTCTCCCCATCCTCAATGGGGAGAGTAAACTGACTCGTAATAGTGAAAAGCAGAAAAGGGAAATTGATTCATTTTGGCCACAGTGAGGAGAACAGAGTTCCAAAGACACCCGCTTCTTCCAATCCATCTTCTGGGTCCTTACATGAAATTTAGGCTTAAATATAAGGCTTAAATAAGTAGTCCCAGCCAAAGTATGGTCCCCCCTGTCACTGTCAGAGCTATGTGAAATCTTTTCAGGAGACAGGTTCCTCTGAGGCACCAAAGGCAGCCTTTTCTTTCTTGCAGCGTGAGAGTTCTGGGGACATTCCAGTTCCTTAGAGACCATTGTTTCAACGGTGTGATAACCAAAGGAAAGGACATGAGTGTCTCTTTAGTATATATTCATTCTTGAACTGGGGATGTGGCTCAGTGGTACAGTGTTTGCCATGCAAACAAGAGGCCTGGAGTTGAGACCCCCAGAATCCATATAAATGCTAGGTAGGTTTAGCAGCCCTCTGTAAGCCCAGCCTCAGAGGACCCGTAGCAAGCTAGCTAACAAGATGAATTGTGTTAGCAAGCTCTGGGTTTCATTGAGAGCTCCTGCCTCAGAGAATAAAGTAAAAAATTAATGAAGACTCCCAGTATTGACCTCAGACCTCCCCATGCATATTCATACACTCACACTCATGCACACACATACATGAGAAAAAGTAGTATCTGAATTCTTGCTAGGACAGATGGTTGTGTAACAGATCTCTGAACTCACTCCTAGATGAAATTTTAAATTCTTGTTCCACCACCTCCTCTACCCCTGTCCCATCTGATAACCAAAGGAGGTTTGTATTTCCCTAGATAAAAAGGGAGGACCGGGCCAGGTGGGAGAGGCACACCTTTAATCCCAGTGCTTGGAAGGCAGGGGCAGGCGGATCTCTGAGTTCCAGGACAGCCTGGTGTATAGAGTGAGTTCCAGGACAGCCAGGGCTACACAGATAAACCCTATCTTGAAAAACAAAAAGAAAAGAAAGAAAGTGAGAACTAAAAAGGTTCAAGTTTGGGGTTCAAGAATACTGAGGCAGACTGTTGTTTTTTTTTTTTTTTTTTTTTTTTTTATGAGAGATGGATTAGGAGAGCTGTTAACTCCATAGATGGCAGCAGCTTACAGGGTTTCTAGGGAGAACTGAGGCCCACAAGGCAGAGTGAGAGTCCCTTCTTCATGTACTTTAGAGGAAGCGGGTGGGAAAGGGATTGGAAAGTTTGCTGGTTGCTGGGGTAACAGTGAGTAGTCAGTTAAAAGAGTGTCAGATGGCCATAAACTCATTTCCTACCTAGCCATTACTAGGAGAGACGAGAATCGAGAGAAACTAAACTACTGTGGTGACGAGAACTGTCACAGTCCAGCCAAAGTGAGGAAACTTTAATAAGACAATGTAGTCCTGGTTAATAGGAATACCTGGAAAGCCAGAGGAAAACATGGTGTGCCCCTTCTCATACCCTCAAAGAAAAGTATGGTGAAAATCAAACCATGCCCTTGAATTCAATTCAGTGGAAAGATGTGCTGGGCGTAGTAGCTCTCAGCTGTGGTTCTAGCATTCAGAAGGCTTAGACACAAGCAGATTACAATGAATTCAAGACCGTCCCTGTCTACTTACCTAGGGCCAGGCTAGCCTGGGCTGTAGAATGATTCTGTCTTTTAAAAAAATTGCAGAAAAGAAACAAGATGTTTATCTTCATCCATTTTTCTCTTGCTAGAAGCACAGTACCACTACTTGGATAAATCATAAAGAAAAGTTTATTTTGGTCCAAGGTCAAGGGCCTGCATCTGGGGATGGCTTTTTTGCTGGCGGCATCCCCAGGTAGTACATTGTATCACATGGCAAGAGACAGCAATCACAGGAGAGATCTCCCCAAAGTGGCTTGGATAGCACACCCATTCTGGAAATAATGTATTCGTCCATTAATGTATTAGTGTGTAAGTGAGTTAATCCAGACAAATGGGGTGCTCTCACCTCTGAAAATCCCTACCTAGCTTCACCCTTTCTCTTTTACTAGGGATTACATTTCAACCTAAGCTTCAGGGGCAGCAAACTGTGTTCACACTGTTTGTAGTAGTGTTCCTTCTGCCATCCTGGCTTGAAAAATCTCTCTGACCAAATAGAAACAAAACCCAATGAATGTATAGAAAGTAATGGCTCTCCCCGTCTTACCAGACATACACATAGTATTACAGAGAAAGGAACAATAGTGGGATCAGATAAATCAGGACCCAGAATCTGCTCTGGCTCGCTCCAACTTTGGGACATCAAATCATTTGTTTGTTTGTTTTGCTTTTTGGTTTTTCAAGACAGGGTTTCTCTGTGTATCCCTGGCTGTCCTGGAACTCACTTTGTAGACCAGGCTGTCCTTGAACTCAGAGATCCACCTGCCTCTGCCTCCTGAGTTCTGGGATTAAAGGCATGTGCCACCACTGCCCAGCTATAATTCTTAACCTTTGTGAACCCCAGTTTTTCAGCTCTA